CGTTGGTGGTCTTCGGCCGCGCTAGCCAATTAACCTAATCAGACCAAACCCAGTCCATCCACAGAATTTTTACGCAAAATCCACCTCCGACTTTACAGAAAAGAGCATATTTCAAACCGAATTTTTTTTTGGTTAAGGGGTAATCCTTTGACTAGACGTATTGTTAAAATTTCTTTGATTCGGGTCACGTGTTCGGGCACGATAACCAAAATCATTGTACAAATAACAGAACCGGTGTACGCAAACTGCCTTACTATGCGTTTTCCTATAAACAAAAATTTTATAAAATGAGACTGCAGTAGTTTCCATCTTATGTGGTTACTTCTTGTCACAAATACCTAGTTTCGAGCTTATATTTTTGTATATATTTTTCTTTTGCAGTGCCATCAGAAAATTCCGAGAACTCCAAAAATTAGCACTGTTACAAGTTGCAGGGCATTACCGAATGTACCGAATTTTTGCAGTTTGGAAACGCGCAAGAATTTTCTTTTAATATTTTGATCCAACTTCACTAACTTAAATTTTTTTTTTACTCTTTTAAAAAAAAAATAAAAATTTTCCCACTAGTGAATCTGGGAGCATGATTTTAGTTAAATGTCACAAACTGGTAAATAGTCAAGTGGTCGGCAATAACAACGAATGTCAATAAATGAAACTACCTGCTATTTTTATATCATGGGGTTAGACATATAGCAAAACTGTATTCCATTAGAATTGTTCCTTTCTCTAACTGGTTTTATTTCTGCTATAGCTGATCTGGTCTGTTCTTAAGTGGGACTGCCACCGCAACAACAACAACGGCGGCCACATAAGCAACCGCTATAACAGCGGCACAGTGAGACAAAAATAGTCACCAACAACCGGCACAGCCGCGGGGGCAAAACGCTCGACTACGCAACAGCAGCGGCTATTGTAACGACGTCAATGACGCGCGATAACAACAACAACGCGCGATTACAGCAGCAACAACCGCCACAGCCGCGGGTGCAATACGCGCGACGACGGAAATACAACACGCGCTACTATAGCAACAACAACGCGCGACTACAGCAGCAACAACCGCCACAGCCGCGGGTGCAATACGCGCGACGAAGGAAATACAACACGCGCTACTACAGCAACAACAACGCGCGACTACAACAACAACCGCCTCAGTAGCGGGTGCAACGCTCGCAAGCAACAACAACCGCCACAGCGCGGGTGCAACGCGAGACAACAACAATAACCATCACTCCAGCGCTATAATCGAAGCAACTTCAACAACAGCATCGCCCCCTTCCAAGGCATGCTGCT